CATTTTACCCTTGTCAAAGTCGGTCAACTGGAGGCGGTGTGTGTTATATTTACAGCCAACAAATTTCGCCCAGTGTAAAATTTATGTTGATGTTGCACATCCAAATCGGGCGTTACTTTCTGTGTCGATGTTCTCACATATTCGCAGTCAACTTGCTTCGAAAATCGTCACATATAATGAATGCAAAGTATCCTGAAATGCAAAGTATCTTGCGAAATTATTGCATGCTGTACCAACTATGCTTCAGAACTTTACGCACGCGATATCCAATACACTGCCGAAGCACAAAAATTTTTATTTGCTGTGGACTCGTTTGGCACGATGATAGACATATCCCTACAAATGAATTTGTCACTTTGGAACCCGATATCTCGACATCCGGTGATCCCATTCGAACGAAGATAGTCGAGACGAATCTAATGGTGATATCTTCGTTCGAATGGGATCACCGGATGTCGAGATATCGGGTTCCAAAGTGACAAATTCATTTTTGAAATTTTCGGTAGGGTGTGTATGCTACGGCCATAACCAAACAAGTTCGAAAAGCTTACCAATGTGCTATGGGGTATATATATATACTACGCACGGTGCCGAATGTCGACCTAGCTCATTTTTTGAGCCTATCTAGTGGTCAAATCGCAATGCAATCCCGTGATAATTTTCTTATATAGCTTGTAATGACTTTAATCATCGAAATCGAAATAAAATTTATCGTTATGTCCAAATAAACTTTGACATCTTACTGTACTGCAAAATTTTCTTGGCATTTTTCCGGTCTCAAAAGTTTCAATCATGTGATTTTTGACGCAGAAAAAATAAATTCATCGTTAAATCAAACAACAGTTAATGTTCTTAGAGAAACCTGGTCTGGGATGAATACTCATTGTAGGCTAATCCAGGCACTCTTGCTAGGAATGTTCGTGAATCGGAACTGCATTATGCCTATTCAGCTAAACTTCGGGAGGAAATACGTCAGGAACATCTCGCTCTGATCAATTTTAATCTTGTTAAGCAAGCATGGAAACATGTATTTTTGTCCAAGCTGAACTTCAAAACTTGCATATTTCATAGAATTCCAATTTTTTATGGCCAATAATACACATGAAAATTTATCAAACATATTCAGTTAAGTTTCATGGAAATTATTTCATGCAGTACATGACAGCGTTGGGCACTGGATTAAGTCCAATCATTTTTATTGGACTTTTTGTTCCACTGGACTTATAAAATTTTTATAAGTCCAATAGTCCACTGCGTAGTTTTTATATGTCCAGTTGCTCGACACTGGTGACTCAGTACATGATATTTCAACATATTACAGTCATAATATAATGATAATTTTATTTATATTAATTTAAAATGTAGCTAAAAATACATAATATATAATATTTTATATTTAATAAATAGATAATACAAACAATTTAAATTATGAGTTGATCAACTTTCATAGAATTCTATAGCACTATAGCTCATCGCAGAAAGCTTTTCTTCAAAAATCCTCCTTGCTGGATCCTGCCCACCAGTACCGACAATAACGTGAAGAGGAACAAGGTGTTCATCTGTTATATGAGCTTGTCTTAAAAGTGGATGATTTGCCAAATTAATCAATTTTTGGTCTCTCTCCTCGCCTTTGAATTCTGTCAAGTATGATACAATATCTCTGTCGAAAGGGTCATTATATGGACGTACTTCGCCTCCAAAGTCCAGTTTTGCAAAGTCAAAGTATTTCATGATTTCCTCAAAATTGTGAACCATTCCGCCTGAGCCAACAAAAAGGATTCCTTCGTTTCTATTTTTCGCGTGAGATAAACATATTGTCGGAATGACTTAGTAGAAGTTAAAAATTATAAATTTTGATGATTTGATAAATTTAAGCAAATACCTTAAAGAAGCTAAAGCTTGGCCAACTCTAATATGCTGTTCATATGACGCGTTACGAATAAGAGAAATTTGCACAGCCGGTAGATCTTTTGGTTCAGGAATTGCTATTTTAAGAGGTGCCCAAGCACCATGATCGTATCCACGTTCCGTATCCACCATCGCTTTTATATTAGCCTGTAATTAATTCCAACCGTGATATTGGTGATCAAAAATAAAACTTGTACACGATGTCAATAAAAAAAACATCACTTGATTATACCTGAGTTAATAAAGCAACGATCTTGTCTGCCAGTTCTGGAGAACCTTTAGCGCTATAAGTTTCCTTAGCCAACGGTTCAGGAAGCTCTTCGAAAAAAAGCGGTGTATCGCCTTCAAACTTCCCAACTAAGATTCAAAAGGCGTGACATGTCAATACTAAATTTGTATTTGATATTCAACATATATCATCAATACATATATCATAGTATGTGCGAACCTTTAACCATATCATCAGTTTCCCAATGAGCGGAGATTATGACGATGGCCTTTGGTTTAATTTCTTGTTCAACTTTTTTTCCCCATCTTTGAAGAAATTTATGAGCTTCTGAGTGCTGGTGGAGTACTATGAATGGACCTTTTTTAAAAACAAAATAAAATAAAAAATGGTAAGAAGTTGCGCAAATTGTTATAAATTATAATGACCATATATTTATGATAATTTTTACACGTACTTCCATGGCCAACAAAATAACATGGTGTTCGCTTTGTAGAATTAAGAGACATTTTGCGGATTACGAATTCGTTTATTGGAGATATCTTCAATAATTGTCACGACTTAGAAGTACTGTAAATTGTTGGTGAATTGTTGGAGACAAGCCTTCGTTTTATACAAAATTTTCATCATTGGGTATTAAATCGTAATATTTACTAGAAGTCTATTGTTCAATCGTTTTTCCTTAATCAAGTCATTGATTTTCCTTTGTTTTAAACTTTATACAATTATGGGTTTTTCCTTTATTTGTAAATGCGTATAGATATTTTGTTTTTTCTTTTTTTGTTCGCCTTTATTTGTAAAACCGGTTTTTTCGGGAATACAACATGTATATCGACATGATTTGTTCAAATTTGGTATATAAATATACGACTATAGTTACCTTCGAAAATCAAATCCCTAAGAATTAAGGTTACGGCAAATTCAATAATTACATATCGATATGTAACGGTAACGTACACTCGGTGGACAAAAGTTTACAATCAGGAAATGATCGACATATATTTAGGGTGGGTATTGTTCTATTGTACTACGAAGCAAGTGTCCAATTGTAACGTAATTTAGCTCGTTCGAAAGCTGAGTTTTTTCATTATCGGAAAATATAAAAAAAAATATGTCAACCTTAGAAAATATAACCCAACGTCGCCAGCTTACAGGTTTTGAACGTGGCGAAATAATCGG